GGGGCTTTGATGCCATGGTGAATGCTGGCGTGACGCCATGACCTTACATTTGACTGTAACTTCCACAAACGGCCTCCGATTTGCCCGAAACTGAATATGGCAATGAACAATCATGCCCTTTAGCCAATGAGGCACAAACGGTTGGTGAATGTTATATAATGTCACCAAAGCTGACCTCAATGGGACTTTTCTGTAGTTGGTCACAGCGCCACCTAGATAACGTTATCCTTCGATAACTTTAAAAAACATGGTCAGAATAGCATTAAAGTTGGTCACTGTCATCACACCACCAGTGTGGTAAAGATAGAGGATTCCCTAGTGGTGAGACATAAAATATAATGGTGGGCTCAAAGGGGATGCTGAGTCAGGGTGAGTTGCGGACAAGGTGGCCGTTAGCAGTTTCTGGTGTTGGGGTGGTCGACGTTTGTGTTCTTCGGACGTGCCCTGGTGCCCCGGGCTGCCGGCCAGGCCGGAGCGGCGCGGAGCTGCGAGGGCCGAACGACGCTGCTTGCAGCTTTAATTAGGCCCGAGCAGCGAAGCGCTGCGAAGGCCTATTGTATCTGCTCCGTTTCTTTTTTTTTTTCTTTCTTTCTTTCTTTTTTTTTTTTTTTCTTTTTTTTTCTTCCGCGTCTTTGGACGGCCTTTAGGGGGTCTTAGCATATCCAAAAACTCACCAAATTCTGGCCCAATATAGAAAGTGCGTGAAATTTACGTATTTCACTGGCAATGTGAAAGTTGGTATAAAAGTGTTTCAACAGCGCCCCCTGGAAAATTAAAAATACCCCTCCGCATTGACCTTTTTTCATAGTAGAGTGATAAAATTTGGTACACCTGTAGAATTCAACAATACGCACAGAAAAGCCTCTTGCACCCATGGTCAATATCAAACAGGAAGTCGGCCATTTTGGACTAAAGTGGCCATTTTTACCCCATTTTGGCCATTTCTAGGCTCTATATTTGGTTGAACAGTTTGATCATTTTTCGCACGATTGTCTCAAAAATAATGTGCGATCGAACAGAAGCGATGGACGAATCAAATGAGAAAATAAAACTGACTTTTCGTAAATACTGAAGGGGCGGGGCCAGGCCTCAAAGTTCGAGCACTCGCCAAAAAAATTCAAATTGCTATAATTTCATAAATGAAAAATTACAGTTAAAGTAATTTGCTATGGACAATCGTCATCGACCCCGAAGACAAATGAATGGTTGATTGATGATGTCACATAAGCCCCGCCCCCTCAGGCCTTAAAAGGTCAAGTTTTACTGGGAAATTGTCCAAAATTCGCCCTTTGTACTAATCACCCCATATTTCTAGCAGGAAACTGAAGACAAGTTGGGGTTGCTTGGCGTCACTTTATGGGAGTTTTCTCCAGAAGGCGGGGCTGTGGCGGCGCGGCGAAGTCAGGCGTACCGACGTGGCCTTACGTTTGCCTACCATTTCGTCATGTCTAAAGATATCGCCACAAAACCTCTTGGGAGTGATCCTAGTCCAGCCCCCCAAAAAATTTGATGTGAACATCCGGTGGGCGTGGCCTATTTTCTGAAATAGCGCCCCCTAGGACCATTAAAACTGTCAGCCCCAAGCCATGCTTTGACTGAGGATTTTGAAATTTGGTACACTAATGTGGTGTCTCAGGACCTACAAAAAAGTCTCTTGGAGCCAAATGTAAAGTTGCACAGGAAGTCAGCCATTTTGGTCCAAGTACTCGATTTACTGGTTTTCGCACACGTTGTTTGGAGAGTGATGCTCCATCGCTCTTTTCACCAATCGCCTTCAAACTTCTCTTATATACTCTTAAGACATAAAGGAAAAATTTCAACCGTCGGATTTTAAATAAGTTTAAAGGTGTGGGCGTGGCTAAGCCTCAAACTTTGACCTGTCGCCACGCCACTCTTTTTTTCAAAGCTCCCTATTGGATTCCTTTTACCCAATCACCAGCAATCTCTGGCAAATAGCAGCTGACAAGTTGAGGTCACTTGGTCTGCAGTACTGGCAGGTTTGAAAAAAAGGCGGGGCTTTGGGAGCATGGCGAAATTTGCCATCACGCCATGGCAATACGTTTGCCTCTCATTTCTTCAATTATCGTGACATCGCCACAAAATGTCTGGTGAGTGATCTGAGTCTGACCCCCAATAGAACTGCACAGCTGAAGTTTGTGGGCGTGGCCTATTTTCTGAAATAGCGCCCCCTAGGACCATTAAAACTGTCAGCCCCAAGCCAAGCTTTGACTGAGGATCACGAAATTTGGTACACTAATGTAGTGTCTCAGGACCTACAAAAAAGTCTCTTGGAGCCAAGTGCAAAGTCGCACAGGAGGTCGGCCATTTTGGTCCAAGTACTTGATTTAGTGGTTTTCGCACATGTTGTTTGGACCTTGATGCCCCGTCGCCCTTTTCACCGATCACCTACAAACATCTGCTATGTGCTCTTAAGACAAAGGGGAAAAAATTCAACCGTCGGATTTTAAATAAGTATCAAGGTGTGGGCGTGGCTAAGCCTCAAACTTTGACCTTTCGCCATTACATTACTTGACTTAACTCCCATGTGCATGATCAGATCGTATATCAAACGTTGTCTGTGTGATCACTGACCACATCTGAAGACAAAGATAATGTGGACAGCTGACATCACCTATGCCCCGCCCCCTGACTATTGGAAGTCTAGTTTTATGGTGAAATGCCCATATTTGTCCCCTCTAATTTAGTCAACATGACACTAAGGTCATGCACTGTCTTCATGATGTTGTAATGACCATTCAGATCTGATAGCTTTCCAGATAGGGAGGGACTTTGATGCCATGGCGAATTCTGGCGTGACGCCATGACCTTACGTTTGACTGTAACTTCCACAAACAGCCTCCGATCTGCCCGAGACATCACGTGGCTGCACCAAACACATTGATGTGGTTGTTGGTTTTAATCCCTGTAGCTCCGCCCCTTTCAGCTCACTGGTTTTAGAAAGAACACACAGTGTCTGATTAATGTCAAAATAACAGAAAACCATCTTTGTCAACCAAAGCTGACCTCAATGGGATTTTTCTGTGGTTGGTCACAACGCCCTCTAGATAAATTTAATCTACAATAACTTAAAAAAAAAACGTGGTCAGAAAAGCATTAAAGTTTGTCTCTGTCATCACACCACCAGTGTGGTAAAGATAGAGTATGCCCTAGTGGTGAGACGTGTAATATAATGGTGGGCTCAGAGGGGATGCAGAGTCTCACCTCCTCAGCCCCGTTAGTGTAATTGTGAGCTTAGCTTCTTGGTGTTGTTATTCCGGCACTTAACATTTCACACTGCTGTATGTGGTTTTGTCATGGCCGCCTCCAAAAGGTTTCTGAGTGCTGTGCGAATGCAACGTGAAAATGTTCTTACTGGAAGGATGGTTCTAGGAACTTATGCAGTTGGTAAGCGCCTATAAATGCAACCTCTAACTGAACTATGTGAAAATTGTTCTTGCATGTGATCCATTTTCTCTACAGTGCAACCTACAAACTTTTAAAAGTGTAATAATTTCTACAGACAATTGGCTCTAGATAAAATATGCAGTGTAATTTACACCAATTTACACCACATTGATTTTGGTTCTCTCAAGAACAGCTCAAAGAGATTTTACGTGAATTAAAGACAGCAACATCTAGATGAATTAAAACTTGAACAACATCAACAAATAAAGTCACAAACATGCCAAAGTTGTTGTATTTTATCACACAACACTGGTAAATGTTTTTACTAGCTCAGCAAAATCAATATAGCACCATTTCCTTAAACATTGTTTGCTTTGTATGACATATGCATGATTTGATTTTTTTCACAATTTTCCACTAATATCAACATCCCATTGAAATAAATCCAATTTTTTTGATAAATTGTCTTTTTTTCCCCCCAGAAATTAAAAAACTAAAACAGAATGGTGGCTTAGCAGAAATGACAAATAGTCTCTTACAGTAGAAATTTAGAGGAGAGAAAACAATAATTAGTGACTTTGATCTCTGACATAAGTTAGATTTAAATTTAATGTTCTGATTTTTTTCCTCAGACATGTCTGAAGAAATAATCAAGGATTTAATTAGATTTTTTCAACTGTTAAATGCTATTCAAAAGGGTTTGGCTATGAAACAACACAAGTACCTTGTCTGTATTAGAAGCTTATTATTGGGCTTCTTTAGCACCAGCCTGTCTGATTACTGAAGAACCTGAGCAAGTTTAGAGGTTGGTTTATGCTTGACGCGTCCGCGAGGTCCGCACGGCTCCGCGCGGAAAAGTTGCGTCATTTTAACAACCACGCCCCTCCACCGCGTCTCCGCACGGCCCAAGATTTCCGCAACTCGCACCTCGGAAAATTTCTAACCACGCGGACGGTCGGACGCGGAAAAACATGGCGGACCGGCACGGCAGAGGTTCGTAAATACAGACATTTGTATGATTCAGCGCTCAAAGATCACCGTGATCAACATGTTGTTAATAATTCTTGGAGAGAAATAGCTCGCACTGTCGGAAAAGACGAGAATGCTGTTAAAAATGCTGAAATGCCATGTTGTAAACAGTGATTTCTACTTCTACTGTGGTGTAGTGTTGGATGCATGCCGTAGAGCTCCATGCTGCCCCGTTCAGTTTGGGAGAATATTGGCTCACCGCAGAGACGAGCCGCACAAACCATAAACACTGCGAGTTGTGAAGCGCGTTCCAGCCGCGAGCCGCATCACCGCGCGGAAAGTGAATGCGTCAAGCATAAACCAAGCTTAACCCTTCAGCCTTTATTGTAACAGCATTTCTCCACTGCGCTCATCTCCCATGAGTCCTGGATCACTCTGACGTTACCATTTGGAGGTTCGTGAGTGGCTAGACCTGCGTCAAAGTCCCACCTTCTAGTTTGATTGACAGCTGCTGTTTTCACCTCACAATCAGTTTATGCAAGATTCAAAGACCTGTGAAAAATAATGTAGATTCAGGACTTTCCCACAGAAAGAAACGTGGTTCCTAATGGCAGCATGTCAGCCACTCAGGAAGGCTCAGAGTAGAGGCTGGAAAGGTGAGCACGATCAAACCATTTTTGAGACAGGGGAGATTTGCTATATTATTGTTTGTAAAACAATGTTTTGTTCTATTGTTTTTAGATATTAGTAATGTGTTTAAAAATCACCATAAATTGTAAAAATACATAAATAAATGTTAAACTTTAGGGGTGCTAGAGATGAATTTAGGGGTGCTTCAGTACTCACAAAAGCAGGCTAGAAATGCCCATGGGTGTGATCTTATCAGTTGTCCTTGAAATCAAAATGGGTGTTTAGTTCTAGGGTGAATTGCAGCAAGTAAGATTTTAAACTTACATTTTATTGTTTTTCGCCTTTTTGAATAATAGTTTTTTCCACTGATCAACACAATTAGCAGGGCAACACAGGGATTTGAACCCTGTCCCACAAGTGGGAGACCAGACCATTGCCTTTGCTTTTTTGTGCATTTTACCAGGTAAAGCAAACCCTGCATTAAAACAGCATGTAATTAACCAGTTTAATTTTTAACATCATGCATAATTTGGTGTTGAATTGTTACATCACCAATAGTGATGAATGAGAAGCCAATTGTACAAAAGGTTTTCAGTTTAATTTCAATAAATGCCATCTTAATGCAGGAAACGAAACCTTTAGAAAGCTTTTAATTTAATAACACATTTAATTTTGATGTAAAAAAAAAGACATGTTTAAAAGCTTTCCAATACATCCTAGACATTTTGCAACAAAGAAGATGACACACACACACACACACACACACACACACACACACATTAAAACAATAAAATTAGTGTATTAATTGCTGATCTGGACAGAAATGTTTTTAGTTTTGATTAAAAAGTGGGTGAGAGATTAATGCAGAGGACAAGGGGAAAGAGCATTCTAGAGCTGAGAGAAGGAGGGAAATGGCTAAATGTTATTTTGACTAGGTCAGTTGGGGACATGAAATTTGAAAAAAAAAAAAAAAAAAAAAAAAAACACAGAAATGGTGAAGCATACAACAGCAGTTAGTGGTTTTTCCTACATAGGCGTGGTGCTGCACCACACCCGAAATTCTAGTGCCATGACAAATGCACGACACCAAAACGTTCCGCGCGTTATTACCCCCTTCGTTGCTCTCACGACAGCGAAATAGTTTGCGAATGTAACACTTCTCACCTATATGCATCAGAGAAATTTCAACACCCACAGTTTAAAAATCTTGCTACACTCCTGTGCGCACAATGTCCTGCAACCCCTGCTCTCACACATGGAACGCGGCAGCGAAGTTGTCCTGAGTGTGCACAACCCCTCAACAGCATCGAAACATGTACACTGCTTAAAAACAATACATCCAATATATTTCATATAGAAAAGTTCTGACAGACTATATGTACAATATATATATGTTCTATTGTCATTGCATAGATGTACAACGAAATAGATTTTGCTCTCAGTAGAGATAGCTCATGTAAGGAAAGGTAATATTAGTAAAAGTAAAGCTAAAATTGATCACACACACACACACACACACACACACACACACACACACACACACACACACACACACACACACACACACACACACACACACACACACACACACACACACACACACACACACACCTCTTTACATTACAAATTCTGTAGTTAGGTGTTGATCAAATCAAATGTGCTTTTTGAGGTAAACTAAAGCCGTGTAAAATAACAGATGATGCCCTGATGATCACTAAAATATGTTGGAATAACAGATGCTTCTGTTATATACTTGTTGGATTTTACATAGACATGATCTATTAAAGTGCCTTTCTCGGTTGTTGGCTGTTTGACTATTTGGGCATAGCCTCTGTCAGTCAAAAGTTTTAATATTGTTGATGATTTTAAAATGTCATCATTAAAATCTCCCATTAGTACTACTCGCTTTGTACCTCCAGCCAATCAAGCAACTTTGTTAAATTTACTTTAAACAAAGAAAGGGGATACAAAGGAGGTCGATAAATGAGTCCAAGTACTATGTGTAAGTTAACAAAGTTATACACTAAACTCTCCAAGTTGACGTCTGGAGCCTGCAACATTTTAAATGCCACACCATCTGCAGTATAAAAGCCAACACCACCATGTTGTTGTTCTTGAAAAGCAATCAAAGACTCATGGGTACTAGAATAAGCTAAACCTCGTGGGCAGTTGTAAAAACTATAGCCATCAATCTGTACTGCATCTGATCTGTCTGTAGATACCCATGTTTCTGTGACAGCAATGCAATTAGGTTGCAAATGCTGTGTGCAGAAAGCTAAGTCTTTAACGTGTCGATTCAGACTTTGGACATTCATTAAAAACACAGTGAATGCAGAAGAGTTAAATCTGTCGAACTGTGAGTTTGGAGTCAAAAAAGGTGTCATATTACTAACTGCAACTGTAATGTCATCTTTACAATAGATTCGTTTTTCATCAAAGTCCTGAATTGTGAGCCCTGAAAGACTTGTTACACGGCTAAGTGCTACGTATGCTTGACCTGGTGCAAATATTTTCCTAAAACTAACAACGGCGTTTTCAAGAGTGAGTCCCTGAACTTTATGAACCGTAACCGCCCAAGCTAATTTAAGAGGAAATTGTCGACGTAATCCACCTTTAACAGTGGCTCTTTCCTCCTCGGGTTCAATAGGTGTAGATCCAGCTAAATTTGCTGACAGAGACTGGGAGGTTTTCCTCCTCTGCAAGCCGACACGATGGTCATCAAACTGAACATAAACCTTTTTAGGAAAGGTGTCATTTTCTAACATTACCATTTCTGTCAATGTACCACAAATTCCGTTTACCAAACCGTCATTGAGATCCACATTTTTACACAACATTACACGAGCACCCTTCCCCAACTGTAACACTTCTGACAAGTTAGTATTAGAAGCTCTGGCATGATTCCCTTCCAACAACTTCAGTTTGCCTGTTCTTTTATCATTAACATAATCTTTGGCTGTAATTGATATGTAATCAGGACAAACGTGACATAACTGATGGATGTTGTGATTATTTACTTGATTATTTGTTGCAAATATGTGCAATGCTGAGCTTGCCTCACCGGTTTCACACGTTTTTAAAACCTTTAAATCCTCAGGTAATAATGGTGTACCTTTTGTATGAGTTCTGATTCTATTTAGCAGTCCAGAAAACACAGCATCTTTCTGTCTAACGACTTCAGTTAACTGTACAACTTTAAATAGGCTTGACCATAAGTTGCTACCTACACCATCAGAATAGAGTGGCTTCCCTTTAACAGGAGGTAGCTGGAAGAAATCTCCAACAGCCACTACACTGACATTTCCAAAAGGTGAAAAATCACCCGTTTGTTTAATTTGACGTAATCTACCATGAACATAGGACAACAGGTTATGATCTACCATTGATATTTCATCAATAATAAGGAGCTGCAGATCACAATATTTTGTACGTAAAGAATTTAGTTTTTCTTCACCCAGAGGAGTGTACGGTAAGCGTACATCCTTTCCTATAGACAGTGTAGTGTGGATTGTTGTTGCACCTAAATTATATGCTGCAATCCCAGTAGGAGCTGCCAATACTACACATGCATTATCAGGATGTCTACAGCTTGGTGACAGTAATCTCTGCGTTTCATACTCAATTGCTCGAATTAAATGACTTTTCCCAACGCCCGCCCCGCCTGTAACAAAAACATGCAGCGGTTCAGGGTTATTACCATTAACTTTATCTACACACCACTGCCTGATTTGATTAAAAACAGAAAACTGTTTTTCATTTAAAGACCTAATCAATGCCAGACCTTCACCTCTACTCATCGTGTTTCTCTTCTCTAAATGTGCAGTTTGGTTTGAACATGGAGCCAAATCTGGGATTACTTCTGCCTCGTCACTTACTGTCGGTTCTGATTCTTTCAGTATTTCAACACACTCCAAACGTTCCATTTCAACTGCCGGACACAACTCACACCATGCATCTTCTAACATTACATCACCGACTAGATTATTCACAGCATCCAAATGATCAGATTCTAACTCAAATTTACTCCGATTTAAATCTACAACAGCCTTTACAGAGTGGTTTGTTCCATCAAAAAATCTAATTAAACCAGTTCTGTAAAATTCCTCAAAAGTTTCACAGTTAAGCTTAAGTTGACTATCATGGCGGTACGGTAAAAACAACTGCAACATGCTTTGAAAAAATTTCTCTGGGTCTTTGGTTTCAGAGAAACGCGCGTAACGAACAACCGCTGGTTTAGTCCGAGTTCTTTTTGTAACAAATCCTAAATCATTACTTAACTTTATAGGATTTCTACATTTTTCGTTTTTACTCAAAACACGATATTCTGATGCAAACGTAGCCAGGCACATATCATTGAACACATCATCATTTGGCCTCTTCTTATAACGATCAACTAATCCGGTCATCCACATGTCATCTGAAGTAAGATCCTGTGATGCTGCTTTTTGCTTCAAAACAGAAATAGGCAAACTCATTTTCACTATATTATCACCGGTGGGAACAAACACAACTTTCCTTGAACACTCCTTTAGATGCATGTTAGTTAGCCTGTAGACTGCTTCCTGCGCACAAACATCCCGATTATGAAGATAAACATTGCCAAGACTCTTCAAGGCCTCTTTTGCACTAAGATTACCATCTTTGGCTGCTTCTCTTTGAGAATTAGCAAGCAGAAGGCCAATTTCCCGTTCACTTTTAGACATGTATGATATTATGTATACACAGCACGCATAAGCATCGACGCAATACTGGCTATCAAGATTAGCATTCCAAGCTTTTAACAGCAACTTGCTATACTGATTAATCCAGATTTCATTAACTTCCCTTTTCAAAACAACATGTGTATTTCGACTAAATCGTTTATATGCCATTTCAAATAGTTCCTGACTGATACCTAGGCCCTGAAACAGACCTTCTACACTGTTATATGGACAGTCTTCACTAGAAATAGCAGTCTTCACTTTAGTTAAAATGGCACTTGCTACTTCTTTGTCCATTTCCTGTTTACGACCTTTATCTTGAGACGCACAGGCACACTGTACAGTGCTATCTGTTTTATCACACTTGCAACTCTTCACTGCATCTTGATACTTTTCACCGCGGCTAATAAAAGTTCTAACAGATGCGGGTCGTGGAAAATTAAAACGACAAACAGTTTTTTTCTTTCTACAAGTCTTTGAATGCCGTTTGGAGTGCTGCTGGACAGATGAGACAACTTCATGTAGTGAATCGTCTTCAGAAGGAAGTTCACATGTCACATATTCATCAACAAATGCAATGACCTCCTCATCTGTGTTCTTATCTAAAATGGGAGCACCAGAAACCCAGAAAAGGCAATGACAGTGAGGAGAACCACGCTGCTGGAACTCAACACGATAATAATAATCTTCTATTTTACCAATGGGATTGGCAGGAGACATTAGCACTTCCCTTAAGAAGACATGCCATCTAAAATCAAACATTCGGGCAGCAGTTACTGGATTCCTACGTAGGAGGTCACATTTATCAGCCCACTCCAGCTGTTCCACTGTCTCTGTTCTGCCTTCCTGTTTCAAAATACTATAAAGAAGGTTAGTCCACCTCAAATCTGCCGACGAAAATGATGCGAACCAAGTAGGTTTGCCCAACATTTTTACACAGGCCAGGAGGTCTCGCTGTGCAGATTGCCAAAAAGCAGGTGTGCCGCGAATTGGTTTAAGAAACCGGTAGCCATCATCAAACTCTAACAGCTTATTCAAAGAATCCTGATCCTGTATCAAATTACCCAACTTCTGAGATTCACCGCTTTTACCTTTACGCAAAGCTATAGAAACTTTGGACACAACTTGCTCTAGTTCAGACATGTACTGTGCAAAAAATATATATTCTACATTGTTAGCAAATCGACCATCGACATGAAGAAGCCTGTTGTTGAAATACCGATTCAGAGTCAAACGAAATTGTCTGCTTTCATAGTAAGTATTCGATCCTGAAGGAAACAAGACGGGAAAACATTTTGCTTCATTTGTAAAATCTGAAAGCAATTTCACTGGATTGTTACCTTCACCTGGAGCTAAATTTAATATGTTATCCACATACTGGTCCAATGCTTCTTGTCCTATATCTACTGGCATGAGACAGGTGTCCTGAAACATACAGTGCTGTTGTCTGTCATGCAATAACTCATCTTCTCCATCTATGCAAGTATCTTCATCTTTACTAGAACCACTATCGTCTTCCAAGACCGATGACTCATCTTCCTGAGTAAAAGTGTTAATCCAAGACTCATTGAACTCTACATCTTTGTAATGCAAATTATGATGTTTTAAATACTGAAGAGCTTCCTGAACATGCTGTGTGTCAACATACTGATAATCATAGTGTCCTTTATATGTCAATTTACGCTTTAACTTTACAGGTAATAAAGACCCCTCCATGTTGGTACGTGGTAACAAACTGCACGTTTCCACTATATTTGCAGGAACACAACATATCGGGCCATGAACCCCATTCTGACCACCTTTGGGCAGAGCCAACATTTTCATAAATGGTATATTCATCGCTATTAAATGTTGCTCTAATGTATTTAAACATGCCAGTTGAGGTGGGATGGGATCAACAGTCAGCCTGTTGATTGAACTTTCTGGGGGTATCTGACATTTACTAATTTTATAATGACACGTGTAACAGATGTACAGTTTATTTCTACATACATTCAATTTGCAAGGTAATCTACACGCATCATTGCATTTGTGTAGATGATTGTCACTTATACATTTATCTGCTATAAGTGACATTTCTTTGGTTTTTCTATAGTATTCTTGATTAAAATTTAAGACCTGATGTCTAAACAACAACCGTGAGCAGACACAACACACAAAATCAGGTCCATCTTTCACCTTCTCTAAAAACTGATCTACAACAAAATCAAAGTTTTGTGAATTTACTTTAATCAGCATTCTTTTATGCTGGATACTTTCTATTAAACATGTCTTATGTTTAACATTAAGGTATTTCTTTCTACTCAACTCTTTCATTTTGTCTTGATGAGCCAAATTCTGATGGTAGTTGAAAACGGCCCTCCGTCTAACTTTGTCTTTGTGAGCCAAATTATGATGGTAGTTGAAAATGGCCCTCCGTTTAACTTTGTCTTTGTGAGCCAAATTATGATGGTAGTTGAAAATGGCCCTCCGTTTAACTTTGTCTTTGTGAGCCAAATTATGATGGTAGTTGAAAATGGACCTATGTTTGGCCCTCTGTTTAACTTTGTCTTTGTGAGTCAAATTATGATGGTAGTTGAAAATGGACCTATGTTTGGCCCTCTGTTTAACTTTGTCTTTGTGAGTCAAATTATGATGGTAGTTGAAAATGGACCTATGTTTGGCCCTCTGTTTAACTTTGTCTTTGTGAGTCAAATTATGATGGTAGTTGAAAACGGCCCATTTCTAAAGATATCGTCACGAAACTTCTTGTGAGTGATCCTAGTCGGCCCCCCAAAAGATCTGATGTGCACATCCGGTGGGCGTGGCCTATTTTCTGAAATAGCGCCCTCTAGGACCATTAAAACTGTCAGCCCCAAGCCATGCTTTGACTGAGGATTACGAAATTTGGTACACTAATGTGGTGTCTCAGGACCTACAAAAATGTCTCTTGGAGCGAAGTGCAAAGTCGCACAGGAAGTCGGCCATTTTGGTCCAAGTGCGCAATTTAGTGGTTTTCACACACGTTGTTTGGAGAGTGATGCTCCGTCGCCCTTTTCACCAATCGCCTTCAAACTTGTGCTATTTACTCTTAAGACATAGAGTAAAAAATTCAACCGTCGGATTTTAAATAAGTATAAAGGTGTGGCCGTGGCTAAGCCTCAAACTTTGACCTTTTGCCACGCCACTCTTTTTTTCACAGCTCCCTATTGGACTCCTTTTACCCAATCACCAGAAATCTCTGGTAAATAGCAGCAGACAAGTTGAGGTCACTTGGTATCCAGTACTGGAAGGTTTTGAAAAAAGGCGGGGCTTTGGGAGCATGGCGAAATTCGCCATCACGCCATGGAAATACGTTTGCCTCTCATTTCTTCATTTATCGTGATATCACCTCGAGATTTGTTGTGAGTGATCCTAGTCTGACCCCCAATAGAAATGGTCAGCTTAAGTTTGTGGGCGTGGCCTATTTTCTGAATTAGCGCCCCCTAGGACCATTAAAACTGTCAGCCCCAAGCCATGCTTTGACTGAGGATTACGAAATTTGGTACAGTAATGTGGTATGTCAGGACCTACAAAAAAGTCTCTTGGAGCCAAATGAAAAGACGCACAGGAAGTCAGCCATTTTGGTCCAAGTGCGCGATTTTGTGGTTTTCGCACACGTTGTTTGGAGAGTGATGCTCCATCGCCCTTTTCATCAATCGCCTTCAAACTTCTGCTATATACTCTTAAGACATAGAGGAAAAAATTCAACCGTCGGATTTTAAATAAGTATAAAGGTGTGGCCGTGGCTACGCCTCAAACTTTGACCTTTCACCATTACATTACTTGACTTAATAACTCCCATGTGCAGGATCAGATCTATATCAAACTTTGTCTGTGTGATCACTGACCACATCTCAAGGCAACGACATTGTGGACAGCTGACATCACCTAAGCCCCGCCCCCTGACAACAGGAAGTATATTGTTTTATGGTGAAATGCCCATATTTGTCCCCTCTAATTTAGTCAACATGACACTAAGGTCATGCACTGTCTTCATGATGTTTTAATGACCATTCAGATCTGATAGCTTTCCAGATAGGGAGGGGCTTTGATGCCATGGCGAATTCTGGCATGACGCCGTGACCTTACGTTTGATCTAACTTCCACAAACAGCCTCCCATCTGCAGGAGACTGAACATGGCAATCAACAATCATGCCCTTTAGCCAATGAGACACAAACGGTTGGTGAAATTTGTATAATGTCACCACAGCTCCCCCTACACACCATTAAACCTGAAATAACTCCTACAGACGAGGTCGTAACTGCACCAAACTTGGTGGGCTCAGAGGGGATGCTGAGTCAGGGTGAGGTGCGGACGAGGTGATCGTTAGCGGTTTCTGGTGTCGGGGTGGTCGACATTTCTGTTCCGCGGACATGCCCTGGTTCCCCGGGCTGCTGGCCAGGCCGGAGCGGCGCGGAGCTGCGAGGGCCGAACGACGCTGCTTGCAGCTTTAATTAGGCCCGAGCAGCGAAAGCGCTGCGAAGGCCTCTTGTTTTTGCTCTGTTTATTAGGCCCGAGCAGCGAAAGCGCTGCGAAGGCCTCTTGTTTTTGCTCTGTTTATTAGGCCCGAGCAGCGAAAGCGCTGCGAAGGCCTCTTGTTTTTGCTCCGTTTATTCTTTCTTTTTATTTATTATTCCGGTGCCCCTTTGAATGGCTTTTTGGGGACCTTATCATACCCCAAAACTCACAATATTTTGCAAACATGTAAGGCCTGGTGAAAAATTTGATATTTCAAAGGTCCCAAAAAAATCGCACAGAAAATGACTGAACAGCGCCCCCTAGAATGTGAAAAAAACCCCTCTCCATAAAGCTTAGTTTATCGTACAGTTATGAAATTTGGTACACTTGTAGTACTTAACAGTCCGCACAGAAAAGTCTCTTGCAAGCATGGTCGATAGCAAACAGGAAGTCGGCCATTTTGGGTTGAAATGGCGATTTTTGGCCGTTTTTGCCGTTTTTAGGGTCCGTTTCTGATTGGATTGCTCGATCATTTTTCGCACGATCATCTCAAAAATGGTGTAAAATTGCTCAGAAGGGATGGGCAAACAAAATGAGACAAGGATTCTGAGTTTTCGTATATGCTGATGGGGCGGGGCCAGGCCTCGAAGTTTGACTACTCGCCAACAAAATTTTAACTGCTATAACTTCATAACTGAATGGAATAGAGTTACCAAACTTTCTGTGGTCATTTGTCATCAACCCACAAAGAAAATTGAATGGTCGGATGATTACATCACACAAGCCCCGCCCCCTCAGGACCAAAAAGGTCAAGTTTTACTGTGAAAGGTCCCAAATGGCCCCATTTCACTCAATCACCACAAATTTGTAGCTGATAACTCAAGACAAGTGGGGGTTGCTTGGCGTCACTTTATGGGAGTTTTCGGCAGAGGGCGGGGCTGTGGCGGCGCGGCAAAGTCAGGCGTACCGCCGTGGCCTTACGTTTGCCTCCCATTTCGTCATTTCTAAAGATATCGTCACAAAACTTCTTGTGAGTGATCCTAGTCCGGCCCCCCAAAAGATCTGATGTGAACATCCGGTGGGCGTGGCCTATTGTCTGAAATAGCGCCCCCTAGGAACATTAAAACTGTCAGCCCCAAGCCATGCTTTGACTGAGGATTACGAAATTTAGGACACTAATGTGGTCTCTCAGGACCTACAAAAAAGTCTCTTGGAGCCAAGTGCAAAGTCGCACAGGAAGTCGGCCATTTTGGTCCAAGTGCGCGATTTAGTGGTTTTCACACACGTTGTTTGGAGAGTGATGCTCCGTCGCCCTTTTCACCAATCGCCTTCAAACTTCTGCTATATACTCTTAAGACATAGGGGAAAAAATTCAACCGTCGGATTTTTCAAAAGTTGAACGGTGTGGGCGTGGCTAAGCCTCAAACTTTGACCTGTCGCCACGCCACTCTTTTTTTCACAGCTCCCTACTGGACTCCTTTTACCCAAACACCAGGATTCTGTGACAAACAGCAGTAGACAACTTGAGGTTACTTCGTCTCCAGTACTGGCAGGTTTCAAAAAAAGGCGGGGCTTTGGGAGTATGGCGAAAATCGCCATCACGCCATGGAAATACGTTTGCCTCTCATTTCTTAAGTTATCGAGATATCACCTCGAAATTTGTTGTGAGTGATCCTAGTCTCACCCCCAATAGAAATCGACAGCTAAAATTTGTGGGCGTGGCCAATTTTCTGAAATAGCGCCCCCTTGGAACATTAAAACTGTCAGCCCCAAGCCATGCTTTGACTGAGGATTACGAAATTTGGTACACTAATGTGGTGTCTCAGGACCTACAAAAAACTCTCTTGGAGCCAAGTGCAAAGTCGCACAGGAAGTCGGCCATTTTGGTCCAAGTGCGCGATTTAGTTGTTTTCGCACACGTTGTTTGGAGAGTGATGCTCCGTCGCCCTTTTCACCAATCTCCTTCAAACTTCTGCTATATACTCTTAAGACATAGGGGAAAAAAGTCAACCGTCGGATTTTTCAAAAGTTGAAAGGTGTGGGCGTGGCTAAGCCTCAAACTTTGAACTGTCGCCACGCCACTCTTTGTTTCACAGCTCCCTACTGGACTCCTTTTACCCAAACACCAGGATTCTGTGGCAAACAGCAGTAGACAACTTGAGGTTACTTGGTCTCCAGTACTGGCAGGTTTTGAAAAAAGGCGGGGCTTTGGGAGCATGGCGAAAATCGCCATCACGCCATGGAAATACGTTTGCCTCTCATTCCTTAAGTTATCGAGATATCATCTCGAAATTTGTTGTGAGTGATCCTAGTCTGACCCCCAATAGAAATGGACAGCTAAAATTTGTGGGCGTGGCCAATTTTCTGAAATAGCGCCCTCTAGGACCATTAAAACTGCCAGCCCCTAGCCATGCTTTGACTGAGGATTACGAAATTTGGTACACTAATGTGGAGTCTCAGGACCTACAAAAAAGTCTCTTGGAGCCAAGTCCAAAGTCGCACAGGAAGTCGGCCATTTTGGTCCAAGTACGAGATTTAGTTGTTTTGGTACACGTTGTTTGGAGAGTGATGCTCCGTTGCTCTTTTCACCAATCACTTTCACACTTCTGCTATATACTCTTAAGACGTAGGGGAAAAAATTCAACCGTCGGATTTTTCAAAAGTTGAAAGGTGTGGGAGTGGCTAAGCCTCAAACTTTGACCTGTCGCCACGCTAGGGCTGAAACGATTCCTCGAGTACCTCGAATAATTCGAGTACAAAAAATCCTCGAGTCAAATTCTCTGCCTCGAGGATTCGTTTAATTCATATTTAATTAATTCATGGCTTTGCAAACGCACGGGGTCATGTTTCACCCGGACCGAAATAAGTGACGCACATGCCCACTGGACTGAATGCACACGGGAGTAGCGAACGTAACTTAACTTTCTTTTAAGCCATGGCGGACAATTTGAACACCGGTGGAGTGCGAAAAAGACACAAAATGTAAAAGTTGTGGGACCATTTTTCACGTCGTAAGGTGGAAAACGTAGTCCAGTATAAATACTGTAAAATGGATTTAGCCTACCACAACACCACATCCTCCGTGCTGCAGCACCTGTAAATGTCACTTCTGCAAGCGGACTCTGAGCCTCTACAAGATAATGCATTTTAGCCTGTATTTCTATATATTCTGCAGACACTGTGCGACTTTTTCGTTTGTAGCACTCAGTTTCAGCTCACACCGTACGTCTGGTAGCAACACGT